GTGCGGTCCCCTTAAAGTGAAAATCATACAATAAACTGTAATAATTACTTTAAATATGGATTTTCATCAAGTATCGGCCAGTTCTGTCCAAATTATATATGTTAATAATGGTCTTTACTGATAGAAAATATATAATATATGATTTGTTTCAAACTCTATACTTTTTTGAAATTGTTACAGGCACGTTGTGAAGTCCATAGAACAATCGTAAGTGGCCCTAGTATTCAGAAAGAAATTTCAACTATCGTTCATATGTTTCAGTATCCACGCCCATAAGACTCACAATTCCTTCATTGTGACTTTCCCAGATCTCATATTTGAGACGATTTCAAAAAGCAGTGTATTTATGTATCCGTGGTTGTTGCCGAAAATCCCTTTTAAGACTCCTAAGCTTTGTCTACCTGTTTCAAAGTTTTTCACGGACTCGGAAGATCAGTAAGTACCAGTATCGGTTTTTTTTTAACAATTTGATTTATCAATCAATCAATTATTCTTCACAAATAGTTTTCTTCGATGAAGAGTTCCTTTATTGATGAATCCTATTGTAGTGTACAAGAGTTAGGTTAGGTTAGGTCCAAAGTGAGTGGGTCTATTCCACCCTCCACCGTAACCCGCAAGGGTTTATTGTGGGTCACACCTATTCACACTCGATCAAATAAAGCCAGTTTATTAACGACGCCGATTAGTTTGTATGCTGAGTGGTCTTTCAGGTTAGATGGTAAGAGTACGGATCTGCCGAAATCTAAGAACCTGGTTCTGTCTTCAGCGGAGCAGGCACAAAGTATATGCTCTGCTGTTTCATCGTTAATGAGGTAGTCGGATAGTCAACTTACAGGGAGTTCAGTTGGAGTCGTAAGCTCGACATCCATCTCTTCTGTAGACTCAGCGTCAGAAATAATTTTTAAGTTTATTCTGTCCATAAAAATCCCACTAGGGAAAGAAGGTCAATCACGACAGAGCCTCGCATTACCGTGACAAGGCGATGCTACGACGAGATGGCGCCCGGTATCTCGAAGGTTCCGTAGAGACAGCTGATAGGCTCAGTGTCATTCATCCTCTCGGCACAGATACACATATCTTAGGATTAAGCCATCGTTGGGATGCCATTCAGTTAGGGAATAACAGAACCACAAGTGATTCTGTCATTCCTGTATCCAGCGTGGCTTCGTGGAAGCAGGCATCTGATGGGTGGTTTGCTCAACCCCCCACATTCTAAGCCAATGCACTCGCCAAAAACAGCATGCACAGTGGTTCAGACAGTAAAAGATGAACAAGAACAGCCAACCCGCCAGTACAGGAGTACACAAGTGATTTTGTTTATTTCTTCTTCCAGCAGACAAACCCAGAATTGAAACTATCAGGTATTTAACCAAGAAGGGAATGATTTACTTATTTTAGTGTTCTACAAATTGTCTTATTTCAACTATTAGGTTGTTTTAAAAGTTTTGTCCGTTATGAGTATACTTTCAACTGTAATATCACAGTGAATACTCATTCATTTTAATTGAAATAAGCGCCATTTGAATCAGTGCATTTTTTCCAACGTCAGTATAAATATTGTTTGCTCGGGATTCGATGAAGTCGACGAAGGCCATCAATGTATAGAGTACAAAATTATCTGTTAATCAGTATACACCACGAAACAGTAGAATAAATATTCATTGAGATGTGGAGCTACAAAAACACGTGACATTAAAACGGACAAAACTATTAAAACAATCAATACAATTTGTTCTACAGAAAGTAGTAAGACAATATTCTTATAGGTTGCTGGGTCTAGAAAATCAAGCATTTTCTGTTGGTAGTCCTTATTGTTCAGAACAGCTGTAGCATTGCCTTTATCTGCAGTACACTACTGATCATCAAGAAAGGAATTATCTGATATTTATCGCGATTCAGATGTAATGAATTGAAAAGTTATCTAGGTCATACTGCAGTAGGTATCTCATCATCAGAGATACAAACAGTAGTTATATCATTGATAAACAAATTAAACAACAGCGGACCCAAGTGCGGTCCCCGAGCGCTTCAATCTGTCTTGATAGAGTCGACTCATTTTTCAATTAGTTTTCAAAAATTCTTATAATCTTATAGCGTTTTTTGTTTTTGGTTATAGGCTATTTCTTTGAAAATGTTGTAGATGTGCAATAAGAA